GTGTGTGTGTGTGTGTGTGTGTGTGTTTGCGTGCACGTGTGTGTGTGTGATTGTACGAATGTGCGTGCATGTGCGAGTGTGCGTGCATGTGCGAGTGTGCGTGCATGTGCGAGTGTGCGTGCATGTGCGAGTGTGCGTGCATGTGCGAGTGTGCGCGCATGTGCGAGTGTGCGCGCATGTGCAAGTTGGATTGTATATTTGGATTTCAAAATGTCTTTGCCTATGTTTGAAGAGCTACAGTGCGAAACCCGCTTGGTGCCAAAAAACGAGATACAGCTATGAGCTGACAAGGTTATCTTGTGTGTGTGTGGGGGGGGGGGTCGTGTGTGTGTACGTGCGCGTGTGTGTGCGTGCGCGTGTGTGTGCGTGTGTGTATGTGTGTAGGATTCACATACTGCTGCCTAACACATAGCAAGGGCTTACATGAGAGGGTGCACTAATAAGTCCTCAAAGTGGGCAGAGAGTGAGCTTACACTAGAGACCGTTCTTCTAACAGTTATCCGAGGCTGTGCCTGCAAAATCAAGTGGTTTCACGTCCATATCATGTGACTAAATTGTTGTGTGAAAAGTGATCGTGGCATGTGTGAACAGTGGAGCCAACGATCCGACATCATGTAAACCCATTTTGTCCTCCGTGTGTGTCTTCTCGTTCTTGTGCGTCTTGTTGTCCTTGTGGGTCTTGTCGTACCTGTGTGTGTTTTGTCGTGCTTGTGTGTCTTGTTTTCCGTGTGTTTTGTCGTCCCTGTGTGTCTTGTTGTCCGTGTGTGTTTTGTCGTCCCTGTGTGTCTTGTCATCCGTGTGTGTCTTGTCGTCCTTGTGGGTCTTATTGTCCGTGTGTGCTTTGTCATCCTTGTGTGTCTTGTCATCCGTGTGTGTTTTGTCGTCCTTGTGGGTCTTGTCGTGCATGTGTGTGTCTTATCGTCCGTGTGAGTCTTGTCGTCCACATCTGTCTTGTCATCCGTGTGTGTCTTAACGTCCACATCTGTCTTGTCGTCCTGCGTCTGTGCATGTCTTGTCCTCCATGCGCATAGTTTCCCGCAGTCCCTACCCAGTATGGATGATCCCCAGCCTCCCATTAAGCCGTTGCTACGACGACGCGTCAGCTCCCCGAACGCCCGCGCCACCGGCAGCACGTTCACGTTTGACAACGGTGGCAGCACGACACCCAACTCCGGCTCTGTTACTCATCTTCCGTCGGCGGTTACCGGCGACTCCGTGTCGCGCCTTTTCAGCTTCTCCCGGGCGTCGGTGTCCGTTGTGAACCCTACGGACGCTCCTCTCAACGCGTCGTCGTCGTTGCTGAGTCGCGTCGCCTCGGTAAGTACCAACTGCATTGCTCGGTGTATTGATGTGCCCCTTCAGTATAGGGGGCAGTGCTACACTTCCTTTTAGCTCCACACACTATTGTTCGCCTCCTGGTTGTGACACTCAAATCAATCGTGCACTCACACCTCGCATAACCGCACACATCGTTTTTCCACAAAAAGATATTCGGATAGGCGAAGGAACCGGATAATCGAAATAAAGAATATAGATAATCGAACACACATACTGCATGTATGAATGGAATATGCTGTAAATCGGTTAGGGGTGAAACGGTTACCCTTTAAGGTAACAAACGGGTATCTGGCTTAACGGCCGGGTTATCGGGTACCCTTTATCCGCCATACTTTTTCCAAAAGCGTTGCATTTGCTTGTGATCGTAAGCGCAACATGTCTTTTACAGGCATTCTGATAGGAGAGAGATTTTCGGGCAACAATTTAGCTACAGTAGCCTTCCGGATTTCACGCCAGGAGGATATGCGAAGTCATGCAAGTACACTACACCGCGACAAGCACAGCGTGCACAATCACTGCGCTACATGCAAACAGTCAAAATAGTCGTAGCTACAATGGATACCGTGATATGTAGCAGGATTGAACGAGGAAAAACACACTCAAAACTGTGCACTGAACTGTACAACTGTACAAGCAAGCTTATAATACTGTTAGGTACCTCCTCCCGTACCTTTTCTAGCTGGCCTGCATGCACTCGCGTACTCACCTTTTGTCTCCTTTTGTTCCGTTGGCCTGGGTAGCTACTTGCGCGCCCAGAATTGCCATAGCTACCCAGGCCCTTTATCTTGCCGTTCAGACTTGATCTCTTCCTCTCTTTTCTCACTCTTCAATGTAGTCGTTTCGTTCGTCTTGGTCTCTTGTCTCGTCGTCTATAATAAATGTCGTTCCCCCAACCTACCTGTTCCCGTTGTAATGTCTGGATAATAATATGTCGTCAGTCGTCCTTTTCGTATTCAACAATACTGTACCCTACAATCCTACACGACTAACGGGTACTCGTTTGCTAACGGATCAGCAGCTAAACAGACGGGTACCCGGGGACCCGGATCACCCCTTTCACCCCTAAAATCGGTAACCAACAATTTTCATCCGGATGGCAAGGGATCCGGATAAAAGAGGACCGGATAAGCGAGATCTGACTGTATGCGTGTGTATGTATGCTATGTATGCGATATATCGCTGTAGATTCCCCGTATGTCCATGACGGCACCGTCCACGCCGGTTCTGCGAGGCAAACCACCCATGGTAAGACAGTGCTGTGTGTTTTGGCACATGCCCCCCCCCCCCCCCACACACACACACACACCCACCACCACCAGGCACATACAGACTCTTGTGTGTGTGTGCGCACGTACATGTAATAAGCCCATTACCCATTGCCAGATATGGAAGGTATGAGTGATGCATGTGAGTACGCTGGGATCAGCAATGCACTGTTCAACACCCCCAGACGACCATGCCCAGGTGGCTGTGTGGGGTGTTCATGGTACGAATTACGTCATTGCGCAATGGGCTTCTACTTCAGACTCTAGATACTGCTTCCCCGCACAGCCATAGTAGTCATGCTACACTCGTACGCGTTAGGTAGGCTTGTGCCGTTGAGACGCCCCACCTTTACAGGCGATGATAGGCGTATTGAACAGTTCACACACGTTGATGGAACTTGACGCCCTCAGTTCTGCGGAATATTTGTCCGTATGTGCCGCTGAAGTGTTTGGCTATTGGAGGAACAGGGTTGGGGGGGGGGGGGGGCTGCTTGCAGAAGATGTTCTGCCGCCCATCCGGTCGACTTTGTGCCATGTCAAGCTACTGCTGTTCTGGAATGTCAGAGCCACACACGCACGCACAGACTCATCGTGCATGCATGCACGCACGCATAATAAACTCCCCTTCCCTCCTCCACCCGCTGCATAGTGGTCTATATTGCTGCATGCAGGGTGGCTTGTAGAACACACTGTGTCCAGAATACACACACAAGCCCCCGCTGTGCTACTTTGTTCAGAGATGCAAGAGTGCTTGCTACCCAGCATGCTGACTGAGTGCGTTCGATATGTCCGCGAATCGATATTGAATTCATTCATGAATCGCCCCTGGCTATTCCTGTGTTGCCACACCTGCCGACATGTCAGTAGCCTGCCGATTTTTGAGGCCTGTCATGACCTGCCGACTATTGACCTTCTCCTGCCGACAACGGCCATGAAAGTGTCCAAGTTTGACCTTGTGCTTGGTTTAGAAGTCATGGTCCAGATTTTTGGCTTTTACTGCTCATCGCGAGTGTTTCCATAGCCTAAGGCGCTAAGCGAATCATCAGCTGTCTTGGGGAAAATCGGCAAACTCAATCTGAGTCTCACGCAAAGCCGTGAAAGGTTTTCTTAACAGTTCCGTGCGTGTGTGTGTGTATTGGTGTTACTATGAAGGAGGGGGTCCGGGGGCAAAGCCCGCGGATGATGCATTTTTATTTTTTTTCATCCTACTGATATTTGGCTATAATGATGTGGCAACACTGCTATTCACATCATCCAACATGAATAGGGCGAATCGATTCCGAACGAATTCCAGGGCTCATGACATGAAATCAAACGACGAGATTCCATTCGTGAATCGATTCCTGGCAGTAATCGAATGCACCCACTGGATTATTACTGTGCCTGTCTGACTCATGCTTCTTATTTCTTCTCTTGTATTCACGCCTAGTTTCCTGACAGTGGTTCAGTATCAGCTAGGAACTCAGCACACGATGATGATGACCTGGACGACACGGTACTCATGACTGACTTATCGTCCGGCTTCAATGACTGGTGCAATATGCAGTTCTCCCGACCGGCCGCTGTGGTAAGATGTCAGGGTTCAGACGTGATCACAGCTATAGTGATTTTCTATAAAGACTTTATAATAATTGACTTGCCACACACAAACGCACACACACACACACACACACACACACACACACAAGCACACATATACAGGGTTCGCAGCGAAGTTTGGAAGTCTGGAAAAAGTTTGGATTTTATAATTCGATTTTCCAGGTCTGGAAAAAGTTTTGAAAAGGTGCTCCTTTTGAAAAAGTTTGGAAAAAGTTTTGAATTTCGATTTTTTGGCCGCAGCTCAGATGTGCTGCACTCCTGCAGTGCAAGTGGCCGTTTTGAGTGCCGCGATAGAAGACGCGCTGGCGATGCGTGGTGCTCACTGCATGTACGCGTCTCGTACAGTCATTTCAGTGCAACTCAAGCGCGGCCGGTGATGCCTTTTATTTGGCCGTTTTTTGTTACTGGCGCTCGCGCTCGACTTTGATTCTTTGAAGTCGGGACAGCAGGATGGCGAGGTCCTTTCGCACTCAGATGAGTTTGCTGGCGAGGATGAAGCCGTCTTTAGCGCTGAGATGGATACCAGCTATGTAAATGTTTCATTAGAACCCCCTCTGGAGGCGGATTTGAACTTACGGAGGGGAACTCTCGTCGTATGAATTCCCCTGCTATTTTCAGGGGCTCTAGCTGCTGAAGGCGATATCATCGCCATGCACCTTGGTGAATTTGTTGATGGTAGTGATACCAGGGAGGATTTTACTACTCCCTGGTTGTACTCGTAGTGGAGAAGACAGTCGTTCGGAAGAGGTTTATAATATTATTTTATTTTTCCTGCACGAGTGGGTTTCGAAATTCTTGAAATTGGTTTGGAAAAAGTTTGGAATTCTGTGTGCTTGGTTGGCTGCGAACCCTGCGATATAGACACAGCGACGCTCGCTTACATACCTACACACAAACGAAGACTCTGACGTCTTTTTTCATTTACATGTCCTCAATTACACGAGCCATCATTTGCATTAGCAACTGTCGTTCTTTTCGGTCATCTTCTTTCTTCTGCTCGTCATCCTTCGACTTGTCCTTCTTTTCCGCCTTCTCAATTTCTAACTTTTCCGCAGCCAGGCGGTGCTCCTCTCGCTGCACTCCCAGCTTCTCCTTCTCGAGTTCCGACCACTCCCTCTCCAGCGAAACTGAGGCATCATTCTTTGTCTGCAGGTATGGCAGGACAGAGTCAGGCTGGCTTAGCCCGCTCCGATTAGCCGGTGGCTCCACAGACTGGCCTTCTGCTGCTCTCTCAACTTTGTTGCTAAGTGTGGCGCAGGCATCCTCGCGCAGCTGAGCAGTTTGCTCGCGTTGCTGTTTTGCAGCTTGCTTGTCCTTGTCCACACCTTGCTCCTTCTCCTGCTGAAAGTCCACCATTTCATTGAGAAGGGTCTCTTTCTACGCGAATTCATCAGCTGATCCACGTCTGCACCGAGAAAGAAGATCCCATTGTACCCATATGGTCCTGGCATAGGCATAATGTAGCCATATATTTACATGCGCAGTGTAATACTGTACTATGACGATGCAGGGATTCTGTTATACTCAGTCTGCACTCAGCAGTTGTCACGAAGTTGTCGCGCCGACCGCGATAGCACTTAGCACAAGCCAACAGTAACACACTCGCTTAGCACCACACAAGAGAGGACTGAGAAGTTCTTACGTATAATAACGTTCCAGTTCACGTATGGAAGAAGAGAAGCCGACAACTTCGCGACAGCAGTCATATCAGTAGTCAGTCAAATGGAATATTTAAAACACAAGTGCAACATTTTTTGCAATAAATGATTTCCTCGCTAGTGGTGCAGTACATGAACGAAAGGCACCTGAGAACTTACCGCCTCTTCGCCCAGTTCTCCTTCTACACGTGCTGGTCCATGCACTTCAGCACGCGATCCTGAACTGCTTTCTTTGACACCGACCCGGATTTGGTGGGATCGAAGTGGCGCAGCTCCGCCCGCCACGGTCTCGAAAGCGAAGAAGCCACGCTTGAAAGGGGCGTCCTGTGCACGGAGCTCGCGCAGCGTGCACATATCCATTTGGAGATCGAACCTCACTTGGCACGATGTTGAGGGCGATGTGGGGCTTGGCGAGGTAGTCGTACAAGACATCGCAGGCTCGGCAGACATCGATACTGCGGTGGGTGAAGAAGTTAGGGTCCATTGGGAACCCATTATAAATGATGCAGGAGGAAAGAAGTAGGGAAACGAAAGCAAACTCAACGTCAAACAGCCACTCCTGTTCACTGTGCCATGTGGTGTCAGACAGTGACCATTGTTAGGAGACGTTTTGAGAATATCAAGAGTCAGAGGGCAATGTCCAATTCAATTGTAATGGGACGTAAGGTCCCCCCGACACAGCAAACACATGCACAGCAAGGTCTAGTCTTTACATAGTATGATCCATGTATTCTTACGCGTTTCTGCCGCTGAGGCTTCGTCAGAGACAAGGATGGAATGTAATGAATAAAGACTAGTAGTTATATACGGCTTGATAACTGGCAGGGAGAACGATCAAAACTACATTCCAAACGCAAAAGGAAAGTGTATACAAACACTAAGGGTAGCATAAGCTCAGGCACGTGCATACGGGGTAGATCTACGGCAGTTCTACCATAAACGGGAGTTTTTTTTATCTATTTTTGTTTTAATACTGAAATACACAGTCCAGCAGAGAACGGAATGGGAAGACAGAACCAAAGAGGAGACATGACACTACAGCGGGAAGCCGGAGCAGCGTGCTGGTGAATTGGGCCTGCCTCCCCCGACCATGGGTCTTGGGATCAGCGGCAGGACCAAGCACCAAATACAAAAAAAAGTAGAGTAGAAGAAAGTCAAATGAGCAAGTATCACGGTGCATCACGTACTGAGAAAAGAGAAAGCAACTTTCGCAAACCACTGCAACTTCGCGTCCAAGTTCTCGAAGTTTCGAGCTTTGTTTCTGTACTCATTTCCAGACTCAACTTTTCTTTTGAACATTTGCGTTGCTAACCGCCCCTATTGACAGAGTTTAGTAGTGGCGAAGTGGCCAAGTGTAAGTGGTTATTTAGTTTAGGTACAGTTTTCACAGTAAAATTTCTGACTGTATATAGTATCTAGTTACAGTGGTGGACAGTTACTCTTAACTCGTTTCCATATGTCCTTTTCCTTTCTACATAAAATAATTACCATAGTACAGTATTAGATTAATTTATAAGAAAGAAAAAGGACCAAAGAGCTAAAAGTTACGCTACAATATCCACTAACACCACCAGTTACTAAACAATCAGCTCATGCGATAACATTGCACGACACTGACCGACGATACGGACGTTCTGGCTAACAGCTCTAGCACATCTTGGATGCAATGTTATCGCATGAGCTGATTGTATAGTAACTGGTGGTGTTAGTGGACATTGTAGCGTACCATTGTAGCGTAGCGTTTAGCTCTTTGGTCCTTTTTCTTTCTTATAAATGAATCCTTGGCTCTCCACCCGAGTCTATTCCTGTATTAGATTAGGGGCATGTTTGATTGGTCAATCCGGATTCAGGTCGGATTCACTGGAGAAGTCAGAATAGCAGTTCCCAATCAAACAGAACAGCGAATTTTTTTCTCACAAATATTGTAGAACTCATGATAGCTCATCATGCTGTGGACTTCAAATTTTTCACAGAGTTCAAAGATTTTTTACATTGCTCAAGATGAGAAGGCGAAACAAACTTGAGAGGCGAATGCAACCGGAGAAGAAGCTTCGAAGACAAACACAAAATGTTCTATCATGGAAGTGGAGACCGCCAGTAATGTACCAATCACACGTAGACCTCTGTGCACATCACCACGTCCTTTACATCATCCCTGAACATGCCAGAATCGCTTTGAATCAAAACAAAAACTTAACTCATTGCGTAGCCCTGTCCGGTTTTCATTGGGCTTTGCAACTTGCTCTGGCTGCTCCAGCCTTGGGATTCGGAGAGTGGTCAGAACATGTTCCCAACACTCCAAAACCAGTGCAGTGCAGATCAGTGCAGACCAATCAAATACCCCTGTTCTACGATCCTGTTCCGGATCCGACCAATCAAACGCGCCCTATATTCCACGTTATTTTCGTATCAAACAGTGGGCCTTGGTGGATATTAACCCTTTGAGGACGAAGGACGAATATATCCGTTTTTTCAGGTATAGCTGGATTCCTAAAGACGGGTATATCCGTTTTTGAGAAAATAGCGATATCGATATATTTTTAGGTGCTTGAAGTCGCTCATATGTTGCTCAGACGAGTACGATCTGATTCTTCGTCAAGGTGAGACATGTCGCAGTCGATCCGCGTCGGTCCCGTGGAGAACCGGCCACATTTGGGTATACTCAGAGAATGCTCCGATCGAGAAATTATTTTGGAATTTGAAATTAACTTGTTACTTTGTTTAGAGTGCCGATGGCACGTAACCTGTCAAGTGTCTCCTTTTCTGAGGCCCTCGGCATTATCTTTATGAGCAGCGATAGTGAGGATGAACAGTGTGATCCTTTTTTACTTTTCTGAGGATGACAGCGAGGTCGATGTTGGCTAAATTCGTGGCGATACCGCTGACGCATTTTTCACAACATGCACCTATTTTGAATTGACCATTCTGACCTCTATAATGGATATCTGATGTAGAAACTTTGGTTTTGTTGCCTACTGATGTCTATGTCTCTTTAGAACCAAATTTTATGACACTAGATCAATTTTTGAAAATACCGATTTTTCGCCTGAAAATGGTAGGAATCCAGGTGGTTTTGGGTAGTCCTCAAAGGTTTAAATGCTAGATAATGGCAGATTCTACTCGAAAAGCAATGAAATTGGCAAAGCCATGCAAAGGTTCTGGCATGCAAATTCCTCAAATTCTGCTTCTTCCTCTCATCCATATCACAAGGCTGTGTAGAACATGCCATAAAGCACCAACTTCTGCTGGTGTTTCTGCTGGCTAATGACTATCTAGCAGTACACAGCAGAATGTGATGTTGTGGACACATCTCCACTCACGATACCTGTTTCTGAAAGAGCACCGATAACCAGCTAATGCAATTGTACTATTTCTCTGATCACATTCTTCCACTGCTTTTGCTGCTGCTGCTACTGCTGTTGCTGCTGCTTCTGTTGCTGCTGCTGCTGCTGCTGCTGCTGTTGGTGGTGCTGTTGCTGTTGCTGTTGATGCTGCTGTTGCTGTTGATGATGCTGCTGCTGTTTATGCTGCTGCTGCTGCTGCTGCTGCTGCTGCTGCTGCTGCTGCTGCTGCTGCTGCTGCTGCTGCTGCTACTACTGCTGTGTCTATGCTGCTATTTCTATTCTTGTCCTTCTCAGAGAGATATTGCGTACGATCATCACGGGCCAGTCTACCTGGAGCGACACTGGCGCTACGAGAACAATCAGAACATGAGACTGCGCTGCGTCCAGAACAAAGAGAAATGTTAGTAAGCCTTGGCGTTCACAATCTCATCAGCCTAATCTGCCCAGGAGAGAGGGGGGGGGGGAGTTGATGGTAGGGCTATGCTGTGTGCAAAAGAATAGCTTGCAGAGCCCATGGTGCCACTCGCTTTCTTCCTTGCGTGTTCAAATTAGGGTTGATTCACGATGTCGTCAGCCGAATCTGCACCGTGGGGAGGGGGGGGGGGGGGGGGCACCAGCGGTTCGCCAGCTCCAAGTCAGCCCCGATACCAACCATCACATTGTCTTTTGCGCAATCTCCTGACAGCTAGCTGTTGCGCTATTTCCTCTCTTTCACTCACTCTCATTCTCTTTTACTGTGTGTGTGTGTAATATGTGTGTGTGTGTGTGTGTGTGTGTGTGTGTGTGTGTGTGTGTGTGTGTGTGTGTGTGTGTGTGTGTGTGTGTGCGTGTGTGCGTGTGTGCGTGTGTGCGTGTGTGTGCGTGCGTGTGCGTGCGTGCGTGTGCGTGCGTGCATGCGTGCGTGTGTACATTGCCAACAGATGGCGAGGTTCTTCATCTGGATGATCAGCAGTTCTTACGCAATAGCTCTGATGCACCGACAGCTATGCGCTTCCATCCATACCAGAGTGAGCTGGTCGTGTCGGAGCGCAAGGGTATCACGTACGTTACTGCTGTTGCGTCATAGTTCATACCGCCCTTCTGGTGGACACTTGTTGTGATGCACACATATTGGATTCCAATGGCAGGCATCTTGTCAGTGCATGTACACGTGGCACGATCCTAAAGAGCATGCGCTGTGTGTTTGTGTTGGTGTGTGTGTGGGTGGGTGGGTGGGTGGGTGGGCGTGCGTGCGTGTGGGTGTGTGTGGGGGGGGGGGGGATGTGTGTCCAGTCTAGTGTATCTGTTGTGTTGCGGAGTGGACAACGTGAACGGCTGCTGATACATTACCTATGGCTCATGGCCGCTCACGTCATCATTAGGTCTCATATTACGCGCGAACAACTCGCGCACGCACGCACACGCATGCATACACTCACAAACACGCATGCACGTGCACACAAACACATGTGCGCACGTGCCCCCCCCCCCCCCCCCCCACACACACACATGCATTCTTACATTCATAGACACACACTCTCTTTCTCTCTGCTGTGGACCCTGGCTACGGTAGACATTCCTGCTCACTTTGTGACGCCACCTTTCTTTGGCATAGCTGCGGGAATATAGATCACGCTACACTTGCAGTCACGGTAGTCGAACTATGACTCCTTTTGTATGGTTGTATTCTTCTGCTATGGTCTGTGTGTTTGCAGTGTGTTCGACATTGAGAAAGGCGAGAGTCGTAACACTTTTCGCAATCGACACCCGTCCAACTACAAAATTGTCACAATGGACTACATCAACGCCCACGATCATGCGCTGCTCATGACCGGAACGAGTACGTGTGTTTATCTGTTTGTTTCTGTGGGTGTGTTTCTGTGGGTGTGGATGTGGGTGTGGAACTGTGGATGTGGGTGTGTGAGGGTGTGTTTGTGGGTGTGTGGGTGTGTGTGTGCCTCTCTCTGGATCAACTGTTGTAGCAATACATGTCTTTTGTTTCCTGCGTTCTCACACTGCCGAAATGTGTCCTGTGTTTGTGATATCGCCGCTGCTGCTGTCGTTGCAGGTGACGGCTGTATTCGACTATGGCGTAACTACCGGACACCGGGCTCTGAGAGTCTGGTGACAGCATGGCGTGCCCTCAGTGAACTTATCCCTATGCAGAGTGGTGAGTCATGTGTTTGAACTTAGAAGAATGCTCTGCTTAGGTGCTTGTTTGTGTAGAGTGTGCTGCTCATACAGCAGCTGTCCTTGTTATTTCTACACTGTCACTACCACGAGGTACAGTTCTGCTGCTCGACGAAATTCTGGATTGTGTGAGTCCAGTTTGCACCCGGCACCAGCTCACATCCCAATGTTCGCAGGTCTAGGACCAATACTCTGCGTATGTACTGGCTGATGTAGAGTGTGTGTGTGTGTGGCTCACACAGCTGTCCTTGTTATCTCTGCACCACACTACCATTATCTACAATACTGCTGCTCAATGAAGTCCGATCACTTGAGTCATGTTTGCGCCCTTCACCATTTCACACCAGGGATGAATTTACTGTCAGGTTTTTGCATAGCACTTTTTGCACAGCAAAATCTCAGTTGTGGCGTAAGCTACAAAAGCATGAATAGCCTGTACATGTATGTATGGCAGTTTTCTGCATGTCACTGTCATTTTTGAGTAGCAGTAGATCGATTTTACGTAGCAAACTGCGATGCGATACCGGATAAATTCATCCCTGCACACCTTAGTGTTTGCTGGTCTAGAGCTGCGCAGCTCCCGGCGCATACTTGACTCCAGCAATTGGATTACATTGTGCAGTGCTGTAGATCATGTAGCGAGCAGGTACCTGCCGGTGACAGCACTCTCCCAGGCAGCAATCCTGTACAATGTCTGTAAATTGTGAAAGTGTAGATTGCTTGAGGTGCTAGAGCGTGTGCGGCTCCCAGAGTCCAGTGAGTCTCGCATGTCTCTAGCCAAGTCACCAAGGCGAAGCACTCGTGGCGACATTGGTTGTTGCAAGTGGTCTGGACGGTGTTATCAAAGTCACCATTTACACCACTACACTGTGTGCATCCAATTGAAGTGTATCATTGTATTCTTCAATGCCACTTTCACTGCTTGGTCTTATATCGTATATGATGACTGTGGACTCTCTCTCTCTCTCTCTCTCTCTCTCTCTCTCTCTCTCTCTCTCTCTCTCTCTCTCTCTCTCTCTCTCTCTCTCCCTTCCTTCCTCCATTGATAGGCGCTACTTCAGGGCTGGTGGTTGACTGGGAACAAGAGAGTGGTGTGTTGTTCGCATCAGGCTACGTCAAGGTCATTC